TGTCCATTATGTTTCCATTTTCCCTAAAACTTATTCGTTCGTTACATATTCTGTCAAAGAAATTCTCAGCCTCCTGTAAAAACGTATCTCCACATTCCATGGCATATAACGCCTTGATGTTAAATAACGTTTCAGTACTCTTTTCTTTATTTCTGAGGAAATTTCTCCATTTCTTAAAAATCTGTTTATCTTTTGCAAGACATTTTTACTACTTCAATGCACCTTCAGATTTTGACGTCATATTTTTTCGTCCCTAGTTAAAATATTTCTCATAAATTATCAACTTTACTAAAGTTATTTTTATGACCTTGTCTAGGAATTCCAGTAGTTTGTCTACTATGACTGCCATCAACATAGCATTAACTGCGCATCTTATATTGTTAAAAATGCGCCAATCTGCCATATTAATACACAGTAATTTTATCCTTAACCATTAAGACAAGGCTATAAATGGATTATACAGACGGCGAATAATACTGCGTTATTTTATTCAACACTACTTGCAAGGGGATAATACCGCAAGCGTTAACTTTAGGATATTCAGATATCATCCTACCATTTACCAATGTCTTGGATATAGAGAGTGCTTTTATATCATCCTTCCAACACCGTCAAATAGAAACGAGTCTTATAACATTATATACAATGATATTAGTTGTTTGCCATTTGCGAATACACACGAGAAAATGTCGCCTCTCTGGACTATGTCACACAAGCAAACAAATATCAACTGAAAGACACCAGACCTCCTTCTAGGCACTGAACTCTACTGAATACCAGTTGATCATGTGTGTGAACTTGAAATCTAGATAGAGGCAAGCGTTTCCATAATCTTGATGCAGGTCAACGATTCCTAACGCTCTGTGCTGAATTTCCCACTACGACGTTTGTTCTCATCTGTACCGTTGACCCCTTTTGGTCGTCAATCTTGTTATGTATATAAGTTCTACGAGTTGATTTTTGATTTTTTTTATATCAACCGTGTGTAGGTTACTGAAAGCCAGAACGATAGTTTTATGTTGTAGGATATTTTTTGGTGGGCAGGTAGTAATTGTACTGATACAACACTTACTAATTAAGCCTTAGCTTGAGGCAGAAGAATTTGATTAATGCCCATTTCTCAGTTTCATTCGCGCGTAGGTGAATACAACGGACACGACGGAAAATGTAACTCGGCTATTCGATTAACAGTTCCGAGCTATTATCCATTACTACGAATTTAGTAATATTCATTTGACCACAGTGTCTAATATCAATGTAGCAGAAACGCGTCACGACAAACATGCACAATAATGTGCCGGTTAGTCAGCCTCTTAAAGAGCAACAACTTAAAAGCCTTTTAAACAAATCTTATTGCTTGCCTCAATGTCTCCTGATATACGGTTAATTTGTTGAGTGTTGTTAGATTGAAAGCTGTCGAAATATTAAAAAAAATAATTATAAGTATCTTTTCCACGCACCAGCAAGTACACATTGTTCTCAGTTCAAAATCGATTTCTCTCAGGGAGTTATAAATTTATTTTCTGTCAACGTATGAATGCAATAAGTTTATAAATACCTTGACGCCGCGAAACGCTCTTAATATTACAAGAGCTGCTTGTATTGTTTTGATGTTCGTTTATTTTTAATCTATAGACATTGTGTTTCGTATTAGTTTTTCAATCCCATTTTCTTTCATTTCTCTAATGCTCAACTTCTTTCTGTTTTTTTTTCGTTCATATTTTCTTTTTCTCATGAACTGTTTTTAATATACACTAATATTATTACAACATAATGTTGAAGAATTAAGATGGAAGAATGTGTCGTGTCAGTGAGATGGCCTTTTCTTGAGCCTAGAACCCAATTTAATTATATATGCCGAGAATCGAACACAAGCCTACGGCAGTTGAAAGAAATACAAACCCGATGCATTGTCAATATTTATTTACGAAACTTTGCTACGTATAACGCAATATTGCATGTGTTTGACACCTGCGTTAACAATGGTCGCCAACGATTTCCAACGAACCAATGACAAGATACGAACGTTAATTATGATAACGCAACTAAACTTAACCTAGAAGATTAAAATCATAAAGCAAGCAAACGTTAACACACATATTGATGTAAATAGCCTGAAGAACGAGTTACTAAGTGTAAGTAGAGAACATAGTTTTTACTAAGCTTAGAAAATCCAACCGAATTTGTTACGTGGATCTTTTAATTCCTCCCAAAATGAAGTGAATTTATATTTACTAAAATTCACATCAAATTCCCCCAGAGCAAGGCCATTCAATTGCACTTCGGTTAGGTTGACCTCTGAGATCGACGCAAATGTGGGAGGCTCGGGTTCGCTATTTCTATATGTGAGGTTTAGATTCACGCTTACCCCGATAAACAAGTCATTTTTTTTTTTTAACTGCAAATTTTCCTTGTAAGTACCTCGAATATCATCCGCACTTACGAAATGTGAATAATTCTTGATTTTTCGTATTTTTTTCATTCCGAGGTTTGGAATTGTTACAAGGCAAACTAAACAAATTTTGATTTAAAATTTATAATTTGAAAAGACTGTCAAAAATTTAATATTAAAAAAAAGAAACTTTGATTTAAAATTCATAATTTATTGGGTAAATTAATATTTGCGATGAGTAACTTTAAGTTATTTGGAATGAAATAACAGAATTAGATCCTGTCACGTTCATTATGGCAAGAATTCGAATAGAAAAAGTATGAATCCATTTATCATTATCTCCAGCGATGCATTTTAAACCAACGTAGACTATGCTGTTTAGACTTGCGTGGCAGCCAGTCTAAGAGAATATTAATTCTTAATTCAAAAAGCGTAGAGTAGGCAGTTATAAACCACTTCATTATCTTTCCCAAGAAATCATGCCTGTTGGTTAGTTAGGTGAATTTTGTTTATTAGCATGTCAAACGCTTGGTTATTTAATTCCGAAATCTAAATATCTCGAAAGTAATTTTATGCTTTCAATTAGAAATATTTTGTAAATACTTTTATATTTTTGGGGTCAAAGTATGTTTTTAGATATATAGTCTGTATATCATAAAATATATTGGTGGTAAATTTACTATAAAAATGTATTTTTATATTTCTTAGTGTTGCGTTGATTGTCATTTTGCTATAGAATGTATTGTTGGTAATTTTAATTATAAAAATAAAAATTTTAATTATAAAAATGTTCTGTTGATTATTGTTCAGGGGGTCCACTATTTTCCCATAGCTGGGAAGCTAAAAGATGCTAAAACCCCAGGTAAGGGTGGACATAGGAACAACAGCAAAGATGTTCCACGCTCCTCAAAACCGCCAGTCTCCCAATCAAAGGCCATGCTGCCAAATGTAGTTCATCGTCATACCCAGGACAGGTCATAGCTGTTCAGAGATAATAAAGTAAATGAATTTTTGGAGTACTGTGATGGTCTATGTTCTGAAAGTTCATGACATGTTTTTTTTTTTTTTTAATGGGGTTTATTACTACCCGGGGCATCAGAGGTAAATAACAAATTTCAATGGAATTATCTATACTAATAATGGTCTGATCTCACCGTATTCCGGTGACAATTTATTTACCCGCCATGTCTGCTTCATTGAATTTATTATCTTTTGATTTCATCATTAGTTTTGGTTATTCCACATCTCTCAAATTCTTATTTTTCTCTTACTCTATTTTTTACGGTTCCTTTACTTCTCAATTCTAATTGTTTCGTCTTCTTTTTGACTTATCGTCTATCCAGTCGACAGAGTTTTTTTTTTTTTTTGTAGAGAGTGATCCGAAAGTCTTGTCACCACTACATAATATAATTTTCTATCTCAACGCTCTGTGGGGTACTATCAAGGGAAGATTTTCACATGAAGGTTATCAAAATACCCATCAGTTTAGAAGGACGTTCGGAGAGCATTTTCAACAATAAACAAAGCACAGCTTCATAAAATATTACACAGGACATGGTACCACATCATTTTGTGCCATGAAAATGATGGAACCCAATTTACATTATTCGGACTATTGTCCTCATCTTTGTCGCCATGGCACGTGGAACTAAAACAGTCGGCCGAAACATTGTAAAAAATATGGCGACAAAAATGAGGACGATAGTCCGAATAATGTAAATAGTGTACATAATATCTCATCTCAGAAATATAGACAGATACTGAAAATGATGGTGTTCATACAGACCTTCTCTAAGTGTGACAGCGTCAATGAAAGTGAATAAGCTGAATCCAGTGCATGTGCTTTTGTATTACTTGCTCTTCTATAGTTTTCATTACGTTTTGTTAGGGAGTGACAATACTTTCGGACCATACTGTAATTCTTCCGATGATGTTTATTCTTTGTTCTTTTATTTAAGTTTTTCACTTTTAGTTTTGTTTTATCATTTCTCTTTATTATATGTAACATCTTTTTCCGTACTCATTATTTCCGTCTCTTTTTTGTTTCCACTATGCCGCTGTCTTTAGCTTCAATTTCTCTTCTCTTTCTGTCAAAGACATATTCTTTCCCGTCTTTTTAGCACTCATAATTTCATCAGTTACTTGAGTTTCTCCTATTTCTACCAAACTTTTTTTTCATCTCTTTTCCAACAGCTTACATTTTCCATTTCAACGTCTCACTTTCTACTTTGTATCTCTTCTAACTAACTCATTTTTTTGCAACCCGTTCTATTTTTCTTTAGTTTCCCAAATATCATCCTCTATTTTTTTTTCTTTATAACGTTTATTTCTATCATTTTATAACCTCACTATATTCTCTTTCTCAGTTTCAGCGGTATTTTTTATCATTATATTCTTCCAAGTTTTCAGCAAAAATCCCCTTCTCGCTTTCTTCTCTTTTCCGCCATTCATTTTTAATTCTCGTTTTTGCTTCCATTTCTTTCGCTTTAACCACTTCTCTGTCCGTTCTACTCTGACATTTTTCTCTCCATTTTACCAACTCATTTTTCATACTTATTTTATGTTCGATATCCTTCTCCAGCAATTCCTGTGATTCTTTTTCTTAGACATGTCGTTCTTCCTTCTACAGCCATTTTCTTTTCCTGTATCTCTTTTCATCAACATTTTCATTATCGCTAATTTTCTCTTCATTCTATCTTTTCTACCATTTACCATTATTTTTATTCTATTACTACTCTTGCCGGTTTTGCCTTTTTCTAATGCACATTTTTGTTAACTAAAATAAAAGGATAGAAGAAACAAAAGAAAGAAGCCAGAAATACAAATCACATTTTTCAGAAAAGCAATAAGATTAGTGCAAATGGAAGTCTATGCAACTAACTCATCATTGCTGATTTTGGAATTACAACTTCCTGCCAAGTAATTAAATCCTCTATTGTCTTCTACATTTCTTTTCTTCCTCTTGCTCTTATTGCTTTCCTGACGCTTTTATATTTTGCAACCTGCTGTTGTTGCTCTCTATCCACATTTTTTCTCTTTTGTTGTTGTATTTGAAAGGAAGAGGCCAACAATTATTTCTTGTAGGAGACTTGTCCAAAAATCATTAAAAGTCTATCGATTATGTTGGCCTGCTGAAACAACAATGGCGCCTTCTAAACATTGTCAGCAGATTCTATTTTGGTGCCAAAGATTCTGCTTATTTTTTGTTTGTCTTCTCTCTCTCCTTCCTTCCTTCCTTCCTTCCGGTTTATATCAGCCTTAGTTGCTATTTAGTTGTTATTCATTTTTTCTTAATGTTTTTAGTCCATTCTCTTTATTTAATTTAAACATAAGTTAGATGCAACTGTCAGTTCTATTATAATAGTTTATTTTTTCACACTTCTCGCCCGTGGAAGTACCTTCAGATTTCTTGCTTCCTTCTTTTTTCTTCAAAAACTTAAATTTAACGTCAATCGTCATCGCCTGTCTACATTAAGCACGTTTCTTTATTTTCCTTTACTTCTCTTCACTGAAATCTCGTTCTTTCACTCCACCTAACCCCTTCGTCTAAGTGGCATTATCGCCTTGCATTTTTGAAAGGATGTTAAGAAAAGTCTAAAATTTTATTTACCATCTTTGTAGATTTCATTCATTTATTCGTTTAAAATCTTTGGGTTCCTTCTTGTTTTTTTACCATACAATGTGGATTGTTTTTATTTTTCAGATTTATTTTACCATAATCCTCTTTATTTTGTGCTTTTTTTTTTCATCCCCTATTTTCTTACTTTTTTTTTTTATTTTAACTCGTCCTTAATATTTTTACAGTTATACGAATTTTTTAAAGTTATCTTTTTTTTCTTTCTTACTTCTTTTCGTTTTTCTCTATTTTCACTTTTCTCCATTGCCCGTTTTTTTTCATTGCTGCCAAAAGTTTTTATCTTCGTTTTTTGTTTTCGATAATCCTTTTGACCTTTTTTTTTTATTGTTCTCGTCTTCTATCAGTAATCTTTTGCTGTTTCTATCATTTTATTTTTCCCATTCAGTCTCTAACTCCTTTTATCTTACACGCTTCCTTTCTCTCTTCTTTTCTCGTTTGTTTTTTTTACTCGTACACATTTCTTTATCTGTATAAATTTAGCTTTTCATCTTTTATATACGTTTTCTATCTGCTATTCTCACTTTATTCAACCACACATTCCTTATATATCGGTTTTCTTTGTTCTCTTGTATATCTCGCGTTTCAGGTATATATGGCGATGCGTGAGTGTTTTCTTCTTTATCCCTCTGTTTTCTCTAGGTATTTTCTCTATTTATTCATAGTCCCTCTATATATGATTTTTCTTTTCGTTTTTTAATTCTATCTTATCTCTGTCTACATGAAGACACACACACGCATAGAGGCACACACACACACACACACACACACACACACACACACACACACACACACATATATATATATATATATATATATACAACTATTCTCTCTCTCTCTACCTTTGTCGCATTCTATATAGTTAAATCGCTTTCGTTTCCTGTATTTTTTCCGCCATTTTTTTCTGTTTTTATCTTTTTACTTTTCACTGTTATTATTTTATGACGTTTATCTGTCCCGCTTTCCCTTCTTTATTTTGACTTTTGTCATTTTCCCAGCCTTTCTCTCTCCCTTCATTCACACAATTTTCTTCTATCTCCAAATAATTTACCTTAATTTTTTTTCACTTTTTCTATTCTTAATGCTACATATCTTTCTCTCTTTTATTTTTGAAATGTACTGTTGTATTTTTTTCTTTTCCGCGCTTCATCATTTTTTGATATTCTCATTCTGCTATTTAAAATGTATGATTAAATATTGTCTAATTTTTTTTTATAGTCTTTTTCCAATTTTCTCTCAACCATTATTTTACTAAAACGCATTCTTTCGTCGGCTGTTCTTTTTCAAATTTTCCTTCCGATCTCTATTCACTTACGAGAAACTATCACAAACTTTCTTTCTTTCAGTGAACTTTGGAATATAAATAATAGTTAAAGAGAGACAACTCTTGTTTTACGCAATATTTGCCTTCTTTTACATCCTTGTTTTACATCTTATTAAATACATAATGATGTTTTTGACTTATCCTTTTTTCACTTCAGTTTGGTTTCCTAATCTAAGTTAAATTAATGTGGTGAAGTCCACCATAATAGCATGAGGGGCCAGGTACCCACTGGAACGATACAGGATTTCGACCATTTTTCTTGCATCTTTGGTTACATATCGTATGTAAGCGTTTCGGTCAGGGGTATTTACATACATAAATAAGTCATTGTTTTACTACTGACTTTTACAATTTTTTTTTTCAATTAATTGCATAACATACCTTCTACCCTGAAAGTACCTGATTTTTTATTTTAATATTGTTTTCATAAAATACAAAGCGCATGAAAGCAGTAGGCAGTTAACCAACTAGAAGGACGTTCACATCGGAATACCAAGTGCTCTCAGCTTGGATGTAATGTTGTATAATGGATAACTAGTCAGAATTGAAAATTGGAAAGTAGAGTTCAAGTTACACTGCTCTTCGTTATATTTCCTTAGGCGCAAATACCTTTAGTAAAGGTATTACATCCACCTCTTCTCCCCAACTATGGGTTAATTAGTATGATTTGCATCAGTAAATAATTACTATCTCAAAAATATTCTTACAATCTAAAATGTTTGTTGGTTTTAAATACCCTGCAAAAGGTTGATAACCTGTAAAAAAACAACTCAAACCAAAGCCCATGAACCAGTGAAACTATAGGGCTATTAACAGAAGTAAGAAATAGGAAGGGCATATTATGATATATTATAGAGATAATGGCTGGCCCTAGACGTTAAGATCGTAGTGATCGGGGAAGCACCCCCATGTGAGTCTTTTTCGCAAAGTAAGATTTAGAACTTATATGAGCTGGACTTCCATCTTACCAATGGAATACAAGGCGACGGGACGTATATATGGGAGGGTAGGCCGTAACCATAAAGCTCTGAACTGATGGAAGTAAGGAATGTAACTCCAGTGATCATTTGCCCTGAAAATAGCGATAGAGTAACAACTATTCGTCTGTGGCAAGGTGGTTGTAGGTGATTAATAATACATCGCACACAAGGCTATGTAAACAGTTATGAAACTTGTCAATGTTGTAGAGTGTGAATTGGGCAGCTACAACCCAGAATTTTTGCACTTATGTGATTCTGGTAAAGATTAACTACAATAAGATTCAGGTATTTTCTAAAGCGGTACGAGGAACCGGCCATTTTGTCAGGATCTTTAGCAATGGTTCTTGCATGCAAGTTTTACTTTAGGTTAAGGGTTAGCTTGAGTCAAAATAGACGTTCAAAGCATTGAGAGTACAACCATTCATCAGGGCTAGAGACAATTGTGAGTTTACTCGGTGATGTTCAAACGTTACCTGGTTTTGAATGAATTGAATGATACAAGCCAGTCTTTCTCGCATTGAAATCTGAGAGCTAAATCATTGAACAAATCAGTTAACATCTGTTCATCTTGATATTTGAAGCTGCTAGGTCAGTGTAGAGATAAGCTGCCAAACGGTGGTTATCTAGATATCTGAAGATTCAATTTAACCGTGGTATCGTTTGCAAATATACTTACAAATATTATTAGGCAGATATAAATAAGAAAGAAGTTAGGACAGAGAATGGACACATATGAAACTACTAATTTGATCCTATGGAGTTCAGATGGCTGGCCATTAACTACGATTTTCATGGACCTACCTGATAAGAAGGACTTGATAACTGAGAAAATCCGTCTAGATTTGTTATAATCAAAGAGTTTGTATATCAACCCTCTCTGTCGCAAAGGCCTTTCATATATCCAATACAATCGTTCTTGTGATGAGTTTATTTTCAAATCCTTCATAGATTTAAGGGTAATGTTAAGACATCAGCATTATTTTTAATGATACACACAAAATGTCTGACGTCGATAATCATTCGCTTATATTCATATAACTATGTCCTCGGCATACAGCTTACGATTTCCAAATACCTAGAAATCCTGCGGATAAACAAATTTGACAAGATTGGAGATAGATCAGAAATAAGGTTCAGCCAGAAGAATCTTATCTGGAATCAGTTAAAGTTTTTGCGAAGTCTGGTTATAATGAATAAAACAATATAGAACTCCATCTAAGGAATATTTAAATTTTGAATGATATATTTTGTACTATCAGCCATAATATGATAATGTCGTATATAATATAAATCAAGTAAAATGTTAAATGAGGCGTATAGTACTGAGTTCCATATTGCTCGTACAGTATAACAAGTTCCACCAAATGCAGGGTCTTCCATTGGTGAACAAGTGTTTCCATCAACATTATTTCCTACTGAGGACGCTGACTAGATATCAAACAGGATTAAAACAACACCAATCAAAAATTGAGTGAACATTCACAATAATCATCCTGCGCAATGGGGAAACTGGTCTCCATAGCTATTTTTGTTTAATAATGACACGGTGGTCAGTGTGGAGATTTCCACCCATAGAATCAATAGTTACGTGTCAGTGAATAAAGTGAATCTCTCAAGTTGGAGTATGTCGTTATTTTTTACCTTGTGAGAGATTAGTTCTTCCAGGATCCACTAGACCTAGACATAGTGCGAATGAATGATCTTCAGCTTTAAACATAAATATGTGAAGGCACACTCCTTGGTCATGTGACGAGTGATGATGTAAATGTGTAAATGATTTCATTAAAACTGCTAATACACATATGATGGATATAAATATATATAAAAAAATAACGACTGCTTTACGCCGGGTTGCAAGCGAGTGATATTTGATATCGTCTGTAGGTGTTTCAATATCTACCATACTATTGTCTTTCTTTTCCACCCTTGATATTTCATCATTTTTCTTTAAAATATTATCTTCTGAATGTGATCTCTTTAATTGTCTCTATTTTCAGTCTTTCTTCTTTCATATCACTGCCTTCATTCATATTTTAGTTGCAAAACCCTTACCATATTTGCTCAATGAATTGTAAGTGTTAGCATTTGAAAATAACATTGTTAATGATTGTTATGATGGCGATGGGCTAACAGGAAAATGACCAATGTAATCTATGAACGATGATGCTTTATTTCCTGCATTTCTTCACTGAATGCCGGTAACAAGAAACGTATTATGATATTGGATCTAACGTCTGCAAGATGTAGCAAAAACGCAGTTGTATAATGATCTTCAGGTAGATAGAATTTCCTTTATAGAAAAAGATAAGCTTCATAAAAATAGCATAAAAAGTTAAAACGTGGATTAAGATAATCTTTGTTAAACCTGAGCGAAGAATTATATTTCGTCAGAGACGGCATCCGTAATTTCAGAATATTATCAGAGAAGAAATTTGATTTACATTTGAAAACCAACAAAAAGCTAAAATGTAGCTGATAAAAAAAAAGTCGATTTGCTGTAATCAGCACACGTCGTTCCTGCAATTATGCAAAATCACACATGTAAATTCTTTTACATAATAGCCATAGTGCGTTTGTTTGGCATTGTAACTGACTTGATACAGTTGAGTAACGATACAACATTCGATATTTACTAAGTTTAGCTTATTACCGGTCAGAATCAAATACTACAAATATGGGAAAAAAAAGTCAATGAAATATGCATATATAACGATAAAAATGGAATTTTGTTGATCATGATGTTTGCCAATTTTTGAGCACCAACCTCAAGAGCTGGAAGAAATTCTTAACTATTATTCAAGAGACACGCGAGAAAGAAGCTAATTCCTTATTTTCTTTCCAGCTGTAAGTCTTTTTATTTTTATGCGTTGTACTTTTCTTTCTCCCACACATATCTATTCTTACCTCCATTCTTCAGTCAGGAAGTTTCAAAGATGCAATCAATGATAATTTACTAATATACATGTCTGACCTTGTAAAATATTTATGTGGTACAGATTGAACATCGCTTAACAGATGCACTTATTTGATTATGCACTTATCTGATTATTTCTAGCACAAATTAGAAAAACGCAGTAAATAGTGAGCCGCTTAATGTAGGTAAAATCATCTGAAGGCATCAATAAAGTTTTTGTATAATTCAAAGCAGTCATTCAGAGAGACAAACAAAACCACCCCATAATCAAATATAAAAGGACATACTTTTATGCGCGTGTTGCAGCAAATTAAAAAAAAAACTATTGTGACACAATTTACGTGTTGGGAGTATGTTACTTTAGACAAAACAGAATAATTTATTATTATTATTTTATCTCATTACGCTGTAATTCTGGGATTCTGGCAACTGTTGGAAGGGTTTTCGAGTGAAACTTAAAGAAGAGACATTCATTATTGCTACCATATTAGTATGGTCGCTCAAGTCACAAAACACGTAATAAGAAATGCGTAAGTTTAGAAGAAAATACATTATGATAAATGCCCGTGTATATCGCAAGTAAGTATCCTCATGAGGTTCTAAATGCAAAAGTAGAAAAAGAACAAGGAATGTTGAATATTCAGAAATTATGTATTCATAACCTCGAGAACGCGAAGAAAAATGTGTTGATTGACGCATTACAAAATGATAACCAACATCTACTTTTTTGGGAGAAAAACCGGAGTGGCACATATAGAATATGAATGTCTGCTTAAGAATCGGTAAAATATTTACAAAAACAGCCGTATACTTTCAAACATATCCGCGATTGTGCATATTTTTGCAAGATAATATGAAAATTAAAGACAAAATTAATATATCAGGGATGCCGACATTTCATATACCATGTTGACTCAGTTTGTAGACAAATCTATTCTGCTGTATTTCCGAATATATAAAAGCTTATAAGAAGTCAGCAATACCTTAAGCAAGTATCAATGGCGACATTAGCTCATCCCAAGGATAATCAGACAGAAAAAAAATGAAGTAGAGACCAGATGGAATTCTTGGTTAAAGAAAATGTGACAACAAATAACGTCAGCTAATGGTGTTGATGTTAAACTGAATCATTAAAAATAAATCTTTTCAAACAGAAAATAATGGCTTCTAGAGGAATGCATAGAATGAAAAAAAATAGTGAGTAGATGCTGCAAATTGTAAATATGGACAAACATGTATAAAAGGAAAACAATATAGAAAGACTGAAAATGAGCATTTAATGAGGATGCATAAAATATAAATTCTATCATAGCAGAAAAAGAAAATACATTTTAAAAAGACGGAGAGAATATATCGGAGAACACAAATATATCAACAGAAGACAAAAAAATATAATATATAATCGATGAACGCGCAGCAGAACCATAATAGGTTTTAATAGAGTGGCTGGTATTAAACGATTTCAGGATCGATAACTATACCAGTTTGTAAAATTTAATGCAAGACATTAGTGAAATACTGGAAGACATCAGTAGATAAATTTTCGCAAAAATGAAAAATAAAACCTGATGCGAATTAATTCGAACAATATCACATAATCAGACTAAACTTATAGCAGAATTATACCGGACACTGCCAAGAACACTGGTTTCTTCATGATACCGAACCGATGAATGATGTTTTTATTCCCAGAATGCTCTCAGATCTAGCACTTCAAATGAATAATTTTATTAAAGTTTCATCAGACAAAAAAAAAATATGGAAAATTTCTTCTTTGTGCCGACAAAAAGAGAAATTTATTCGTTTTCTTTCTTTACTGGGTGACATTTGAGTCTATATGTTCCTTTTTACTTTGCCGGAAATGTTCTTTCTGTTTTTTTGCAATTTGTCACCTGTTTTTTGTCTTTTTTAAAATTAAATTGTATTTTAATCGTAGTTCCTGAAACGGCCCTAAAATCTATTTTCAATCGATTTTTATTTCATAGTTACCTAATGTTCCTACCTGGTCAAAATAACCGAATCTTCTTTTCCAAATTTTCCGAGCACCGGATGTTACGTGTCTTTAGAAGAACTTTCAGGAATAAATACTTAATTGTCTAAGGCTTTCTATTTAAAGCTTAAATTTACAAATCCAGTTAATGTTTTAAAATGAATTAATTCCCAAATTATTTTATTTACCAGAACCGATAGATAAAATTTGTATGATGATAATAATTCTTTGTTGTACAAACTATTAATTAACTGAATGACCGGATAGCGAATTGAAAGCATTTTTAACCCACTTTTATGTGTCTTCGAATTTAACAAAAAGAGAAAAATAACAACTGTATCATCCAAAATCTAGTGTTCAGAAAACCTAAACCAGACGACACAACTTAGATATAAACGTTTTAAATTGATCATTGTAATTTTATTTCTTTATAAGAATTAGCTGAGAATGATTTATTATTTAGCCGTGTAAGCGTAGAAAAATATTACTGCAGAACAATTAAAATATAAGATTTTTACAAGTACTTCGTTTTAACATAAAATCCATTTGCTGAAAACCTAAACCACAACTACAAACATTTTACATCATCTTACTGCATTACTGCCTAACACATTAAAATATGATACAAGCTATAAAACAATAAATCCACATATATGATAAAATAGCAGTTTCAAAAGGTTGTACTAGAGATGTTGCAAGCTTTTCTGGATCGCTAAACTTATGAAACTTACGAAATTAATTTCATAGCTGCAAAATACCAAAAGTACGGAGAGGATAATTTTTCATAGAAATGCAACTGAAACCAGGGGTAAATGATTTCGAATTCTAGCGGACAATCAAGTTGTTGTAATTAAATTCTTTATAGTGAAATTAATACGAGAATAATTGAACCGGGGAATATTAAAACAATATATTATATCTATTGTCATTGGATAAAATATCGACGAAATTATTCCGATTTAAAAGGCTTTTTATATCCTCCTTTACACCTAAACCGTTGTTCTTTATATGCGGACGGAAATTTTAGCGTATTTTACGAATGTTCTTTTTGGTTAGTAAATGAAAATGTGAGGTTTCAATTTGTTATGCGCCTATGATCTGACAAAAAAAAGAAGTAGTGGCTTTAATGCCGTCTCAACAATGGCAAATTTATAATGTGAGCTTCCAAATATTTGAGACTATTTTATTTTTTACGATGTTAATCTATTCGTATGATTCTACTGCGTCTTTGCCGAGATTCACACAAAAAATACTTGAAATGATCAAGCCTGCTTGTAAATAAATGTTTTGAGGACATTAAAGAGGCTGAAACGACATCTGGACCGCTTCACGTTTGAGCACTACGACAAGGGCTTCAAGAAGGGTCTAGAGAGCTACAACAAAAAAGTTAAAGTCTAAGGGTTCTAGATTGAAGGGCATTAGACATCTATTGTTCTCAAAAAATAAATGGCTCTCCTGAAAAATATCAAAACTTCTGAAGTGCATAGAGGCAAAATCTTAGAAGAGGGAAAAATGCTTAACGAGTTTCCGTGTTAAAATGCAGGCATTTTGTTTTTCTCCTATTAGATAGTTCCAAGGGAATATTCACTTTCTTTGGAATGTGCTTTCTGTTTCCTGAATTCGCTTCATATTTCTCTCTTACATTTAGTAGTTCCTTTGCTGGTCTTTTCTTTGTCATTTACTTTATATTCCTTTCTTTTTTTAAAGGAATTATTTTCTTTCTCTTCACCTCCGTGTAATCTTTCTTACTTTGTTTCTGTAAAATATTCCTTTTACCTGTTTTTTTTTCTTTTTTCTCACTGTATTTTACTTTCGTTCTTTCCTTTCATCCCTCTTTCTTTAATCTTGTTATTCATAAAATTAACATGACGACAAATTCTTTTTTCTCTTCATCGTAACCTGCATTTTTAAGAAAAAAAAAAATTTCGGATATTTTTTGGATTTGCCTGCTTTTTTTAAACCTATTTTATTCATTTCAAGGTCGTAGTGCTGAAAGTTTTTTCTTAAAGAAAACCATTTTATTTTCTCCAATTAAGAAGGGATAAGGTTCCTTGCCAAAAGATAAATAGATCGAACAATACTGAAGGGCCTCAGACAGAATTTCCTTAAGCTTTTCACCTTGCAGAACACGTAGCATCGTGAACATTCTCTCAGATATTCGTCTCCGTGTC